TAACCGATTGGAAGTGTGGACGTCTTCTCTACATTCCTGCCTGGGTCTATCCGAATTGACATGCGGGATACGTTTTTGTTTATTGCTATTACCCCGAACCCTACACCGCAGTTATTTCTGCTAGAGTCCTATCTCGAAGAAGTATTAACTGAAAAAGGTCGGGCATTCTTCTTTAAGACCTTATATCTTTTAATTGGTATACCCCCAAAGGTTTGTCATCATCGGATGCTAATTCGTAGTATATATGACTAATTTTCTTCCACACTTTAGCCTTAATGAAAACTGGAGCTAGCTTATTGTTAAACTTCTTCGCTGAGTTGCTCTGTGCAAAGCTACGAGCGTATACAGTATCGCCTACTTTAAAACGAACTGAACGGCTTCGCAAGTCATACACTTTAGCGTTAGCGGCGTGAGCTTCCCTTACTTTTTCCTGTGCCTGCATCCGAGTCAATTGCATCAGATCAGGCGTTTTTAAAGCTGTATCGTCTCTAATCAAATTCAATTTCCTTAGAAGTTCATAATCCTTGCCGTTCATCACCATATTCTGTCCGAAACACAAAAAGTACGGCGAATATCCTGTGCTACGATGCGTGCTTGCCCTCAAGGACGCGCTAATCTCATTTATGTTTTTGTCCCAATTGGTATGATCTGTTCCGATGTAAGCCCTGATAGCCACCGATCGGTTCACTGGCTCGCTCGCGTTAGCTTGTGGGGAGTGTATGGCCGTACACACAGGTGCAACACCGAATCGGGCTAAGAAAGCTTTATAGTAGCCCGACTTAAACTGTGATCCGTTGTCTGTCAATATGGATTCCGGAACTCCGAAAGTGAAAAATACTTATTTTTCCAGGAAATCACATATTTTATCAGAGGTGAATATTCGTAGTGGGTGTAAGAAATGAAATTTCGTGCAATGGTCGACTATTATTAATAGGCCGATATTGCCGCTCTTAGACCTAGGGTATGGGCCTAACAGGTCCATATACAGTTTTTGGAACGGTCGATCTGAAATAGTTGGATTGCCCATTGGAGGTCTAAGAATTTGATTGGGACTCTTGGTGGACTTGCAGATGGAGCAGTTAGCTACATTGTCTCGAATCTGAGTCACCATGCCAGGCCAGAATAGATAGCGTTTCAACTTTTCAATCATTTTGGTCATTCTTATATGAGCGGAATCAGGAGCATCGTGAGCGCGATACATAACAAATTCTCTTAATAATGTTTGAACCCAGAGTTTCCAGGATTCTGCGTCTTGGAGTGCATCCCCCTTAGATGGCTCAGTTCGCTTGTACACAAACTTATCTACCACTTTTAGGTCGGGTAACCTAGCCTGATTTTTCTTTATGCGGTTGACTAGCTCAAGATAGTCCTCCGAATCGAATTCCTTAGATAACAAATCAATTACTGGTCCCGAGTCAGTGACTTCTTTAGCTTCTTCGCATCTTGACAATGCGTCAGCCACTACGTTCTGTGACCCACTTCGGTGATTAATCGTTAACGAAAATCTCTGCAATTGAATTGACCACCTTGCTAGGCGTCCTGACAGGTCTTTCTGCTTCATAAGCCACTGCAAGGAAGCATGATCTGTCACTAAGCAAAACTCTTGCCCTTCTATATAACGGCTAGCAACTCAAGTTCAGTAACGGAGTAATTTCGCTGTGCTTTTGACAATTTTTCTGACATATATGCAACTGGAAATTCAACTCCGTCTTCATATTCTTGGGCCAATACACACCCAAGACCATAAAGACTTGTATCACAAAGCAAAACAAACTTTCTTTTAAAATCTGGGGTTCTCAACACCGGTGATGACGTTAACTTCGACTTAAGTAAACTAAACGCCTCTTCTGCCTCGCGATTCCAGCTAAACTCTTTGTTTTTCTTAAGTAACTCAGTCAAAGGAACGGTGATAGAAGCGTAATTATCTACAAAATGCCTGTACCAGCCGGCAAGCCCATGGAATCTACGGAGCTGCTTGACTGTGGTCGGAATTGAAAACTCGTTAATGGCACTAACTTTACTTGGATCGACTTTAAGCTGTCCGTGCCCTATGATGAACCCTAAGTACTTGATCTCGGTCATACAAAAATTTGATTTTGCTATGTTAATCGTTAAATTAGCCTTTCGCAAATATCTAGCGACCTCTTCTAGCAATTTCATGTGTGACTCAAATCATCAGACAAAATTAACAAATCATCTAAGTATACAAACACCCGAGTGCGCAGACTAGCTGGTATTACTAAGTCCATTAACCTGCAGAGTGTTTGCGCGGCGTTACAAAGCCCGAAGGGCATTACTTTGTACTGATACAAAGGCCTATTGGGTATCGTAAACCCTGTGCACTGCCTTGACTTTTCCTCGAGCGGGATCTGCCAGAACGCGTGCTTCAGTCAGCTTATTCACTTCTCTCGAATCTAAACATAACCGAACCTTTTCTCCTCGTTTAACTAGTACACAGTTGCTGCACCAAGGACTTCGGGATTCCTCTATCACGTCTAATGCTAACATGTTTTCTATTTCTGCAAACATAATTTTCTCCTTTGCAGGTGAGATCGGCCAGTGATGCTGCTTTACCGGCTTCGCCCCGCCAACATCGATGGAACGCTCTAGTATCTGCGTCCGCCGTAATCCCTCCGACTCGTAAGAAGGGAGTTGCCGTATTACTGCTTCTAACCTTGTTCGTTGTTCTATTGAAAGGGAATGTATTTTCGGGTATCAACCACCTCGTCTTCTCGCCCTACATTGAGTTCGCTAACCGACCCAGTTTCTTCCGTTATTTTGTTCAGCAATCCGAAAACTCATCTGCCAGCGCTATCAGGGTGTCCAGGTGCCGACACTCGTACGGCCGGACAAACATTCGGAGGGCCGGCGTGCTGTTCTCCTTGATCCTGTTCAGGACTTCTTTGGCAGACATACCCAGGGGCCGCATCAGCGTCTGCATGTCCACCATGTAATTCTTAAATTTTTCCCCGTATGTCTGCCTCCGCTGCCTGACCTGGTCCGCTAGCTTCTCCATGTACTCTCGAGGGAGGAAATAGCATTGCAAGCTGAATATGAAGTCTCTTCAGTTGTCCCACTACCGGTTGTTGGCTATGAACCACTTTAGGGCTCCGCCCTGCAGCAGCCTCGGCATTGCTCGTGGCATCTGGTTTATATCCAACCATATGTCACTGCTGACCACTCCACCTGCTCCAGGAACTCCAGTAGCTTATCGTTGCCGTCATACCGAAAGTTCCACTCTCGGACTTGCTTGGAAACAGTGGCATAGTCCTGCGGATGTGGCCCTACGCTTGATATCAGACCATCGGCATTCGCGGAGGTTAATTTAAATTTTTGGGGCCGGCAGCTTCCGGAATTTCTGCTATACGGTCAATGGTCTCTGCCAGGGTTTTCCTCGTTGCCTCTACTGAGCCCTCGAGTTCTATTCCCAGAAAAATGCTCACATAGGCGAAGTCCTCCTTCCTGAGATTATAAATCCAGGACCAGCCACGTTTATCGCAGACTCCTCGCAAGGATTCCCTGAGCTCGATTTAACTACGACCTAGCACCCGTTGGATCTCAGCGTTGAAGTCTCAGCCTTGTGGACTTACAGTCGTTCGGCGTCTCGGTTTTCCGATCTTGATCCTGGTACTCGGCGCTTGCGCCGCCCTTTTATAGCCTGTGATGTTCCCGTTATTCCTCTTCTCCAGCTCGCGTGATCGGGTCCAAGGTCCACTGCCGCACCGTTAGTTCACGGTGTGTCCTCTTTGTGCAGGTCCGAAGTCCGCCAATTTACCGTTAACCTTGTTGGCCTTGCGGTGTGAGGCTCCAATGTCCAGATTATTGACGGTGTCTCCGCTTTGCCCAGGTCCAAGGTCCGTTGTTTACCGTTTGATCCTGTTGCCTTTGACTCCTCCGGCATTCTCGCCGCTGTTGATAGGCAGCTCTGCTGCATCGGGATTTATGGGGAGTTTTTAGACTCCTCACAACTTTTATCACTCTATACCTGGTCGGCCGACTCGACAATTGCAAATTTCTTTTTTACATCCATGTTCCAGGGGCAGCAACAAATTAAACATTTAAAGTTGCAGCGGCGGAAGAAACGTCTTAGGCAACAACCAAAGGTACGGCAGAAAAGTTCCAACGAAAAAATTTCTTTCGGAATTAAGCTTGTTAATTTCTTTTTTTTAGCCGAACCGACACAAACTATTTGCTTGTGTATGTTTGTTGGTTATTGTTCTATTTTTTCACCGAAAAAAATCGTGAACTCTACTGCGATCACATCGGGTTCACCAAGAAAATTTAATACTAGTTTGTATTAACGAGCGCGAAACTTGTGTGTCTTCAGTATGATTCGGATAATTTATTTGCGACGACGAAAGGGAGTGGTTTCGATGAAGTTCAAGAGATCACTAAATTTAATGTTGCAATGATTTCTCTTAGAACCTAACTTATGCTAAGGTGGCGAGAGACGAGGCGAATTCGCAAGAGCGAACGGACGAAAGCTTTATTGGCTCCCGCTCTCGACCTACAATAAGTGACTTTGATTTAAATAAAAGCGCCAAGTGCGCAAACAATATATTAAAATCGACTACGACGTCAACGTGGAAATATCAATTGGATGTGCCAATATACAATAAAATATAAGCGGCCGTGAGTGCACCAAATTCGGTTCCCCGAACCCTTCAACTTGCAGAAAATCCCTTGGCACTCTCAGTCCCCAAACAATGCAAGTAAGCATAAACACGTCAGCTGAGTCATCATCAACCAGCACTGCTATATCGGTGAGTTGCGCCCTCACAACACCAACTACAAAAACGAGTTTGGCAAGAGCGTCGGTGTCACATTGTAGACCACCTCAAAATGTCGGCTTAAGCATATTGGTACCGTTATTACAAACTGAAAATGGATCAAACGCCCTATGCTACAAACTGGAATGGTTAGGTATGTAAATGTAAAGCGTAAGCTTAGCCCGCAACCCAAAAAAAAAAAATTAAATCGTTTCTAAATTGGCCAAGCATTTAGGTCATTAAAAATTTTTTTTCTACTTTGAAACGCTAATAGGGCTTAAAAGCTGTGTACACATGTCCAGAATACGTGTGCAAAATCCGATTGCTGTGCGACGATGTTTTCCGTCTGCGCATTGACGACAAAAATAAAAAAATTTTGGTATATTTACGAAAAATTTCAAATTCTAGCAATTTTTTCTCTACTTACATATTTCCAACTTTTACTAGTCAAAAGTGTTATTCTCAGACACTAAAATACGTATGAATTGCCGTCGAACCTATACCTATTCTAGAGTACTCTGTCAAAAAGTCGGAAAAAGTAATCGAATCGGACCGTTTTTCCACGAAATTTGCTGTTTACTCACTTCACCTTGTTGAAAGTTAATGTCGAAAGATTGCGTGTTCTTTAAATTTATTTCTCGAAAATTATAATTTGAAATTTGCATCTCTTCGCCACCTTAGATTTACTTGTGTGAATCGTTAGGGCCCAATACTAACTTCTGCGTGTCAACGTAAAAAAGTGTGTATGTAGACCTGTTGTTCTACAGTTGCTTAGTTTGTGTATCTCAAATAGTTCACAAGTGAATCGTAGTAAAGCTGTTTATCTGCATTTATCCACATCGACATGAGTGTATGTCGAAGAAATCTTACATTGAACATTTTAGGGCATCCTACAGATTTCGATGGGCGCATGCTGCCAACTCGAGAGGATGCTTTAAAGTATTACTTTTACGTGTGGCTAGATTAAAAGAAGATAAGAAAGGTAGCAACCCATCTTTTAGAGAAGCTGCTTCTTTAGTGCTGAAACGCGTAACTGACGTCTGGTCATCAGCTTCCATTCCTGTGGTGAGCGTTTCAAGAATGGAGCAACTGTTAAAAAATGACGTTTCTACCTATCAACAGCTAAGCAAGTCATTTAAAAGAGACAGTGAGAGTGATGCTTTAAAAAAAGTTTCTGTTTTTCATGCACAGTTTAGAGTGTTGTTTGATGTAGCTGCCTGCAAGTGCCACCACTCCATCTGTAAATGCTCTTTGCAAAAACAAATTATCACAACGGCATTATCCGCCGTATGGAAAAGGAACTTGGGCGGTCTCTGCAGTGGGACATTTGTCAATTGCACACTAACGAATTGCCATTGCGTCATGTAATTGAGACAATAGACGGTCCAACTACAGGACCTACTGGATTCTCGGGCCCTATTGGAAAATTGCTACAAAACTGTGAAAGTTTGCCCATAAAGAGGTTCAAAGCAATACCCTGTGAGCTTCCTGAAGTTGAGATCAATAAGCTCAGCACTGACCAACTCTACCTATATGATATGCGCAAAGCCGTATCCTGTGGTGTAGTCTCTGATGAGCTTGCTAACAAAAAACCTGGGAAGATGCATCACGCAAGATGGCTTATCACAGGTAGCCGTATACTTAGACTATACGTTTCTACTCCAATTTGAAGAATTGTTCCGTATCAAACGTGAGGGCACTTTAAAAAACGCTTATAAAATCCTATGGCATACAATGATTGCTTTACGTACTATCCCCAAGCAGTTGAAAGAAGTAGCACAAAAGATTCTCCAAGATAACGCTTTCCACGCGCACCACGAAAATATTTTGGTGGCAATGTTACACGACGAGAGGATAGAAGTGCGGCAACAAGCAGTTCGTCGAATTTTGCAGGCCCGCAAACGCAGCAACCCTACTATCGTTCGGAAATTCATCCCACCGATCCTGAATTTCTCCGCAAATGATTATACAGAGATGATCGAATGGCCCGAGGAAAAAATTTCCGAACCACCGATAACCACCAACTTGACGGAAATCGAACTACAACGCATCATAGATGCTCCGCTTGCCCAAATGCCTGACGTGCGATTAGCCAACGTTGCATCGCATACGCAATCTGTAGAGAGGGTTGTCAAAGAAGTAACAGAGGCTTCGAGTAAAAAATGTGGACACACAGCGCGCGACGGATTCATACGCGTTAGACTCCAAGATCGAAACCTTATGCCCAAGTTTGAGAGCAAAAAAGACTTTAAAACGTAAAACTCGTCCCGCACGAGAGGGTGGTTGGCTGGGTGTGGGACGGGAGGGACTCGAATTGCAGCCACCGCCAAGAGGTGAGTGCTGGGCCCCTATGATTCACATATGTACGTGAATCTAAGGTGGCAAAGAGCTGCAAATATCAGAAAATTATTTTTAAAAAATGGAAAAAAAAAAATCTACAAAAACTTTCAATGTTAACTTTTTCCACAAAGAAGTGAGAAGGCGGATTTTATGGAAATGAGGTCTAATTTGATTACTTTTTTTGACGTTTTGACAGAGTTCTCTAGAACAGGTATACATTCTATAACAATTTTACCGTGTTTTGGTGGCCAAGACAACCGTTTTTGGCTAGTAAAAGTTGAACATTGATACAGAAAAAAATTACCAAAATTCCAATTTTTCCATACACCTAAAATTTCCGTGAACAAAAAAAAATTGTCCATAATTATCAATCAATAAAGTTTTGATACCATCTAAAGATGAAGTCTTTTATCTCGGATGCATTAACCAAAAAGCTACCGCTCTCCAGTAAGGTAAGAGTACAAAGTTATGCTTTACAACACTGTTATAAAGCCTGTCTGGAAATATGGCTGTGAGCTATGGGGCAATGCCAGTAACAGCAAAATAAGATTGGTTCAAAGAGTACAGTCAATAGTGCTAGGAACTATAACCGCAGCACAAACATCCACAGAGACCTAAACATCCCCTCAGTAAAAGAAGAAAGAAAACTAAAGGTCAAATACATATCCAAATGTTCAACGCACTCAAACCAGCCTTCACGCGCTCTCTTCGAAACTAGATCACAAACGCGGCTAAGAAGAAATGACTTACCAGCCCGGTAACTAGCGAGGCCACTCATCAACCAACCCTATTAGTGGGCATCAACTAAATTTATAGATTTAAGATTTTATAATTTTTTGTTAGTCCCCTAAGGAAGAAGATTTCGCAAATAAAGCAAACGTCATAACAAAAAATAAAAAACATCAGTCGAATACCTTTGTTAAATTTATAAACATTTGTTGCTCAGAACAACCTTGTAACACTAAAATCGTCCATGTAAAGAAAACCTTGAGAAGGCTCGCGGCCTGCGAATGTTAGTGTTATCATTCGCATGAATCAATTTTGGTGCTACTTTGAGCCCATATGGTAACCGCGTGTAGCGATACGAGCCATTGCTCATAGAAAAAGATGTTAAATTTCAGTATTTTTCATCTAATTATATTTCGTGAAACCAAAACATAAGATCAAGACACGAAAAATATTTGGCTTTTCCTAGTTGGTCTAGGATATCTTCTATTCTCGGTAGGGTATATCTGCAACTAATTTTTTATTCATTTGTCTCTAGTCCACCACTAGTCTCCACCTTTTTTCTGAGGAATTTGGTAATGATTTTTTTGGTACTAACAAAAACGGACTTTAATATTCGGAAATGGATGGTTCCACAATTCTATAATTTGTCAATTTGTATACCCTTTCGGAAGGTATTATAACTTCAGTGAGAAGTTTGTAACGCTGTGAAGGAGACATTTCCGTACATATATTCTTGATTAGCATCACTAGAAGAGTCAATCTAGCATCGCCCGTTTGTCCGTCCGTTCTACGCAAACTAGTTCCCCAGTTTTAAAGCTATCTGCATGAAACTTTCCCAAAAGTTGTCTTTCGATTGTAGGTAGTATAATTCGGAAAGAGCCAGATCGAGCGACTATAGAATATAGCTATCGGAAAGAGCATTATAACTTAACTGTCTTTTAATGTTTTTTTAAGTTCGTCGACATATAGTAATATATTTTAGAATTTCGGTTTCAATTTCATCAAAGTCGGACGAACATAACATAAAAAAGTTCAAAAATTTAACTTTTCTATTTTGTAATTTTTTTTTAAATTTCTTTTGACTTATTAATATTTTGTCAGTTCAAAATTACGCTTTTGA